CGAGTCTTTCTGGATGGAAGAAGGAATAACCTGATTAATAGTGTCAATACAAGAAAGAAGTTCCCGATCAAACCTACCGATATGTATTCATTGGGTCCTCTGCCAGCATCAGATACAGCCGAAATTGCCAGATGATAGAATGTGTTCGGAATGAGGTATGGCAACTTCAGTTGTCGATTGCCCGACCGATACGTAAACGGACCATAAAATTTGGTTCCCGGCAACTTCTGGATGCGGAGCTCGTAGTGCGTCACTGGCAGGCCTCCTGTGTCCTCGGGCGAAGTCACACAAACGTCAATGGTGGTCGCGTCGACCTGCAGAATTAACCCAAAATGGTGTGCATTCATAAAACACAATTATTCATATATAAGTAGACTTTCAAGACTACAAGTAGATCACTTATATGAGATGTATTCACTCTAGTTCGTTTAAAGGGATAAAGGACTGGTGGTAGAATTTTCACACAATAATAGCCTTAGAGATGACGTTTTCATTGAATTTCACATTGCCTTGCTTTCCCAAAAGTTGTTCTCCTCCAAACTGAAGTTGACTGCAGTTTCGACCTTGCATCAACCTTATCAACACACCCAGCTGGAGTCATACCGTGACAGTGCAGAATAGGAGCTTGACACGGTAACAACTCGACCACATTGCCACGAGTACTCTTGAATCACAGAGAATAGGTGAATTTCAAGGAAGATCAGTCCTTTTGCCATATCATATTCTTTGGTGGCATTACCGTTGAAGCAAACGTATATTTGCTATAACAATTGACTACGTTACTTATTTTCGTATGGGAGTAGAGTTTCGAGGCTACCAGTAAATCAGTTATATGAGATGTATTCATCCTATTTGATTAAAAGTAATTGAAGGACTGGTAGTAGAATTTTGCCACAATGACATGAGTAGAGCTGACGTTTCCATTGAATTTCACAAAACCGTGATTCCAAAAATGTATCCTCATCGAGTCATGGGTGGACTGCAGTTTCGACCTCTACCAGATCTCATCAGCTCCTCAGTTGGACTGAAACCCGGTTTGCGGTAGTGCAGCGTATAATCTCGACACGCAGACGATTATGTCAATGAATGCCAGACTATTTTCCATATCACATTCTATGGTGGGATTGTCGATGAAGCCAAGTTGTATTTGCTATGGGAATAGACTACATTACTTATTTTTCGTTTCATACGTAGGCTTCTCGATACTAACAGTAAATCTGATATAATACCTGTACTTACCCTTTTTCCACAATGATAGAAGTAGAGCGGACGTTTCCAGTGAATTTCACATTGCCTTGCTTTCCCAAAAGTTGTTCTCATCCAGGCACCAGTGGACTGCAGTTTCGACCTCCCATCAGTCTTATCAATACCCCCAGCGGGAGTCGAACCGTGGCAGTGCAGCATGTGAGCTTGACCCGTTAACCACCCAGCCACAACGCCACGAGTGGCCTTGGGTCAAAGAATAGATGTGAATTACAAGGAAGGCCAGGTTTTATGTGGTGGGGTGGTCGATAGTGACCAAAAGACACTATTGGCAATGTGGCCGAGTGGTTAACGTGTCAAGTTCATATTCTGCACTGTCACGGTTCGACTCCCGCTGGGGGTGTTGATAAAATCCATGCGAGGTTGAAACTGCAGTCCTCTGGTTCCTGCATGAGAACAACTTTTGAGAAAGCAAGACTATCTGAAAATCAAAAGAAACATCAGCTCTATTCACAGGATTGTGGAAAAATTCTACTACTAGTTCTTCATCAGCTTAAACGAAATAGTCTGAATACATCTCATATAAATGAAACAGAATTTCTGTTTATAAGATGGATTTAGAATAATCCCAAAATTATGGTTACATTTGCTCTTGTGATGCTAATCTGTGCATCCTCGAGGTGTGCATTTAACGCCGTAAGGCTGAGCCAGTCAGGTTAAGTCAAGATTCCGGGCTGCGGAACAATGAAGGTTCGGCAAATCCTCTTTGCCATTCTTAATTTGAATCGCAAGGTCAGATTAAACGAGATTATTTAGGGATTAAGGCCAACCAGATTTTTTTTAGCACAATTACCAAGAAACTCATTTTTGTTAAATGTGTCTTTCAAGACAAATGCTGACTTATGCAGCAGAAGTCAAAGTAATTTATATTTTCTAAATGTATACGCAATAGTGTAGATGGGAAGAGAAACTGGGTTTCGATGAATCGCCTGAGACAACATTGTTGGGAGGACTTTCATTTCGTAAGAAAGAGCATGAAGAAGAGATTCGAAGATTGAGCTCACCAGAAGAGAGGGGCTGAATCCCGTTTTACTGCAGCCGGTTAGCATTTCTACGATGCTCAGATTGACACAGTCCACGAGAACCCCTCCCTCGTTTCGGGTGAAAAAGGGCTGAGCTTTTGTCCATCAAATGATGGATATTATCAAAGCTGGAACTCATTCTTGTAAAAGTCTCACGTTAACACTAGGCCAAGAAAACTATCCGGCTCTATCTTACCTCTTATAGAGACTCAATTAAATCAAAAGAAAATAAAAAAGCTAGATAGATATATATAAAGTCGTTTGGTTTATCTTCATACTCGTCCTGCTACTTTTGCTCGAGTGTGTGCGTGTGTATGTGTGTGTGTTAGGTTGGAATTTTGAAGTCAATGATTCTTAGGAGTATGAGGCTAGCGGAGAGCAAACATTTGACTAAAGAGTTGGAAGAATTGACAAATTTATTCCTGGAAAATAATTATCCTTTGGACCTTCTTGAGAATAATATCTCTCTACTGAGAAATACATTTTCAGACGGCGACCATTTAGTCAAAGATAGGCAGACTGAGATCTTTTCCTATGTCCTAATTTTGTCGACATGCCTTCTCACAAAATAGATGGGCGAATTTGTAAGAAGGTGGGGGATAAGAACAATATCCAAAAAACCCTCACACTTTCTTCTGTTGTGTCATCTTTTAGAGAGAAATATGACCCATTATCGAGATCCGGCTGCTACAAGATTGTTTTTTCATGTGATCGATGTTGTGTTGGTGAGACATGCCGACCTATTCAACAAAGATTGAAAGAACACAAAAATGCTTGTAAAGGAAGCTGGATCGAACGGTCAGAAGTGGCCGAAACATGGTAGAAAGTGGTCATGAGATAGAATGGTCTCAAACTAGTAGGTTTGCTGATTATGGTACGTCTGTGGTTCAAAGAAAGATAAGAGAGAATATTGAAATTAATAGCTTAGAAAATACGTTGAATGTGAGGAACGGTGGTAGAAAGTTGAGTAAGAACTACTTATGCTCGATTAATAGATTGAAAGAGAGAGAGGGTGTTGATTCGCCGTCAGAAGAAGGCGACTCAACTTGTCTGCTCGGTGATGGTTCTGACTTCACTCACATTCGTCCAACAGGTTAGATTAAGCTCATCAGCCAAACCAGACATGTCAGTTTACGCAACCCCAGTCTTTCCTTTCCTTGAGGGGTTAAACGTTAATGACCCTCGACTGACAAGTGGTTTTATAACTTGACTTACATGCTTACAAGCTCATAGTTCATTATCTCAAGCATACTTGTTTACGGACTTACGCAGACTTGGTCAAGACTTTCTCTTGGGTCATTATGTCTTGAGGATCAGAACGTGAGATTAAAACTTTGACAACTCTGATTTAGGAACCGTATTGCATATAGACGCTAACACACACGCATGCACATACACATACACTCGAACAAAAGTAACAGGAGCAGTATGAAAGATAATTAGCCAACCAACTCTATATATCTATCTATCATTCTAGGTTTCCTCTTTTGGCTTAATTGAGTCTTTACAAGAGGAAAGATAGAGCCGGATAGTCTTTTTCGCCTAGTTTTATCATATGATGAATGAAAGCTCAGCCCGTTTTCCCTCGAAACGACACAGATCTCGTGGACTACGTCAACCTGAATGTAGAATTAAAGCCAAACGGCTGCAGTACAACGCGATTCATCCCTCCTCTTCTGACAAGATCGACCAATGAATCTCTTCCTTATGCACTTTCATACAAAATGAAAGTCCCCCCAACAATATTAGATGGCGCTACTAGAATAACTGTGAGTTGGAAAAGGATGCTTAGTTGGCAAGGAAGATTAAAGTTTGGCTATAGGCTTGTGTATGTAGCGCACAAATGCGGTTTTTCTTATTAACTGCCTATCCAGCCGTACGTATGGGGTCAAAGTGGGAATTATGAAATCAATGATAATTAGGAGATTAAGTCCAGTAGTCATAGAGCACCGGGGCCAGTAAATCGATAAATTAAGGGGTATATTTATCCTAAACAATTTTCCACTAGAATTCGTAGATTAATTAGGCTTAAATAGTCATAAATAAAATGCAAGCAAGTTGCTAGTTGGAGTGGGATAGACAGACAGTTCACCTTTCTCGGTTCCTGATATTATCGCCATGTCAGCTTTTGAAAAAGTTGTGTTAAGCGTTGAGCAAGCAGAGTCTCAGAACAATGCCCGGCATTTTCGGGTCCTCTTTCTGGATCAGTTTGTTACATGAGCCCCAATGTTAATGTGGGATTATAAATATCGGAAACTATGAATCCACATTCAAGCGTAAGTTAAAGCGAGAGTCTAGAAATAGACCAAACAACCGAAATACTGATTATGGGAAACGAGTGCAGGGAAGTGTGTTGCAATTATTTATGGCTGATGGAAGGGTTAAAAGCGAGAGACGGAGACAGAAGGAGACAAGGGGTGAGGAAACGAGGTAACAGCAAGAGTCGCTGAGCAAGAGGGGTAGAGTTGGGCAGTCTTGAGTCTTAACGGCACAAGCAGACAATACACAATAACGTATATCTAAACAGGCGCCAGGAGTGCATAGTTAAACGCTGGTTTATGCATATCAGGAAGCAGCTATGAAATCCACCTACTTTTCATGAATCAACTTCACGAACCTCGCTGATGTTGTGTGTTTCACGTAAAGATGGGTTTCTCGCTGTGAAAAGGTCTTTCACATTGTGGCAGATGAAGGATAAACACGGATTAATTCAAGTGGCATGACGATGAACAAAGGGCTTCTTCGCATCTTCAAAACTGTTTTCCATCCAAGGCATTCCTTATCCAATGAGACCGATTCACGAATCGCTTCCTTCCGACTTTACCTTCCAACATGAAAGTAGAGCCATGCTGAAGTATTCTTTAACCTCATCGTGGCTAGTTTAAGCATTAGTGGCCACCGAATGAAATTAAGTGATAAAGTCTGATAAAGCGACCAACTGATGGCTCGATTTACTGATGGATTGGTGGCATAAATGAGAGACAAAATAACTGAGAGACCAAATGGAAATGAATCACTTGCTGGCGGTTGTCACTGCTCGCTATTATTGTAAAGTTTGAAAT